CTACTAATAATTACCATCTGTTTTTCAAAAGTTTATTTAATTCTGTAATTTCTTATTATCAATTTTATTAAATTTTACTCGCTATTTTATATTTAGATTTCGTTTTCATATAAAAAGACTTAATAAAATTGTAATTAATTAATTAATTACTCCCTATTTTGAATACGAAAGTTAATTATTCATTTATTTTCTCATCAAAAAACGTTGAAAAATATTAATTACAAGCTATTTTGAATATGAAAGTTAGTTAATTTAGCATTTATTCTCTCATCAAAAATCTTTCTAAAATATTAATTACTGCCTATTTTAAATTTAAAAGTTGATTGAAAATCTGATAATTATAAAAATTTTAGAAATAACTTTCTATTAAGGATGTAAAAAATTCTAAGAATGTCTACTATATGATGATAAAATTACCCGCTTATTGATATAATAAAGTAAAATATGTTTAATCTTTTAAGAAACAAATATAAAAGTAAGTTTACAGGCTATGTAAAATATGAAATATGTTTGATATTCTATTCTAATAAATAAAGTAAGGAATATTTATTACTAGCTTTTTAGGTTAATAAAAGAATATTTAGATATTTAGAATAAATTTTATTATAAAAGTTACGCTCTATTTAGATTTAAAAGTTAAGTTGTGGTTTATAAAGTTACAACAACAAATAATTGTTTGTTTTTTGTTTTTTTTACTTGCTTTTTTAAATAAATAAAAAAGAAAAATAAATAAATAAATATCTCTTGATATTATCTAGTAAAAAAATTACCCGCTATTTTAAGTTTTAATTTGTATTTTTGATTTAGAATTCAATTATTTATTTATTTATTCAATTACATTCTATTTTATTTATTTTGATTTATTATTCCATCAATTTTTCTAAGATTATGAAATAATATTTAAAAATTACTGTCTTTTATTTATTTTTAATAAAACCAAATATAATATCAAGCTAAGAGGATAATTAATTAGATTGATCTTTACTTCTTCCTATTTAGTCATTTTATTTGAATGTTTCAAATTGCTTAAATTAAAAGTTACCAATCGCTTATTTTAAAGTTTAAGATATTTTAAAATATTCTGATAAAATATCATTAAATAATTATACTCTCTATAATAAAAAAAATTAATTTAGTATTTATTTTAGAGTGGCATTAGAAATAAAAATATTACTTCCTTTTTAGAATATTTCGTTTTCTTCTTATTTAAAGTCATTCAAATATTTTACTCACTATTAATAAATATATAAATAAATAAATAAATAAATAAATAGGTAAATAAAGAAAGTAAGTATAAATAGAAAAAAATAAAAGTTTTACTAGCTATTTTGATGAAGTAATTAATGAATATATAAGAAAGTGAGCATTACTAAATATTACAATCTGTTACAAAAGTAAAATTAATTGGCTATTATTTATATTATTTAACCAATATAAAATACATCCTATTTATTAATTAACAGTCGATTTAAAATTACAAATCTGATATGATTAAAGATTGTTATTACATCCTATTTTATTTATTTATTTAATATAAGTTTTTCTTTTGCTATACAATTAATTA